CTCCCTCCATTTTGATTTTGTTTGTTGAAAAAGTACATATTCGTACACAAACATATCTACAGACATATGCATGTATATAACAGGACAAAGTGCACACCTTGTAATGAACAGAACTCTCATAATATCAGTTCAGAGTAAACAAGCATGCTTGCCAAGTCACTGCAAGTAAACTGTACTGAACTCATTAGAGAGTATTACCAAATGGTGTGTATGAGGCTGGCATGGGGAAAAGCCTAAGCACGACAGCAGAAAAAGATAGTGGTGGGGAATGTAAGTCAAACTGAGTTTTTAAAAATGTTATCGAAACTGATTTCAAAGAAACTTTTCCCCAGCCCACATTTTGGTATGGGGAGAACACCTGTAACAAGTATAAAGAATAAAGAATATGTAGACGTGGGAAGGAATATAAAAAAGAATCAGGATACTCAATGAATATCCCTGATTCATCAGATATTCATCGCTTGTATTCTTGGGGTCCAGAGACACCGATGAATTCAAAGCTATTAATAACCGTCTTATATTTGTCCCTTCTTTCCCTATCTGCTTATGCCCCCACGGATCAGCTGTTCCTCGGGGACATAAGCAGAGAGGGACTTTCCCTCTGGGCGGCTTGGTAAGCCTGCCCCAAGGGAATCCCACCCCAGGGGCCGAGAGATGGCTTGGTTTCCCTTTTCTCTTCTTCCTATGCCTGCACAGCACAAGAAGAGGAGGGAAGGGATCAAAGCGATCCCCCAGCCCGGCTGCCTTTGCAAAGGCTGTGGGATGGCTTGGGTCGTGCTTTCCTCCTCTTCCGACCCCCCCCCCGCGCGAAGGCAGCCGGGCTGGGTGATCGCTTTGATCTCTTTTCCCTCCTCTCCCTATGCCCCACAGTGCGCTGCAAAAGACCAGATGAACTGACAAATTGATTTGTTGTCAGGTGACTGAGGGGCAATTTGTGGTTCGTCAAGTTTGACGACCCATGAACCAAGACAAAGCCCCATTTTGGTGATTCATTCCCATCTCTAATAATATCTGAATACCATGTTTCCCCGAAAATAAGACAGGGTCTTACTATATATACTCGAGTATAAGCCTAATTTTTCAGCACAATTTTTTTGCTGAAAAAGCACCCCCCTCAGCTTATACTCGAGTCAGTGTCAAAATTACATGTTCTCCCATGCAGTGTGGGTGTTCTCCAGACTCCCCCACTCATCTACGGGTGTCTGCAGCCTCTGTGGGTAGTCAAATGACCCGGGTTAAGTACACTGCATTTCCATTTCCAAGACGCTCCCATCCTCCTCCTCCTGCATATTCTATGCACCCACCTTCCTCCTCCATTCTCCATCCCCCTACATCTTGTTATGCAGCAGTAGATCAGTAGATAAGCACAGCATCCAGTATGAGTCCTCCCTCTGCAGGCAGTGAAGTGTGTCTCGCAACTCAGAAGAGGAAGTATCTTCAAAAACATTTAACCTACTGATGC